TTCAACATATTTCAGAGATCCCAGTCTTTCTACGAGAGACTCCAGTTTCTCAATTTTTCAGTTTTATTCATTCAGTCTCTCTGTGAGAGACTCGAATCTCTGAATTAACAATTTTATCGTTCGAGTCTCTCATACAGAGACTGTGAGAGATCCATAAGAAATACTGAAAGACTCTGAGAGACTGGGGAGAGACTGAAAATTTTTGTCAAATAATGTAACTGAAACTTTATTGATATGTTAGTTATTAAATAAAGATGTATAAATCGTTGAAATATTTTGAGAATGAGACGTAAAGGAATTAAATTTTCATCGGTCGGCCATTAAAACGTATTTACATTTTTTTCAATTGTATCAGCGTCCTATTACTTTTAATACCCAAGGATTTAACATTCCAAAACAGGCTACTCGTTTGTAAGCCGATTCAAAAAGTGCTAGGTACCTACGTTTAATTAAAAGTTGGACATATAAATAGAAATGGACTTTCGCGAATAAAGCTTCCATTATTACTTAAATCAGACATTTGCAAAAAGTCATTTTTCGTCAGCTTTTTCACAGGTCTATTGATTTTAAACGTTAGCTAAAGAGGATTAAGTCCGGCATTACCCTAAATTCAACACAATCGCCCAGTTTTGCCCTCATAAAGGCTATACCTTTTTAAACGCTTAAAGCCCTTTGAAATAGTACAAACAAGAAACTTTTTTCGTGAAAAAAAATGTTGATTCTTTGTTTTCAAAGTATTTTCCTTTCGCGCTATTTAGCCTTAATGCATTTCCTAATGTAAACAAATGAAAACGTAAAGGAAACTTAATTCAAACATTTGATTTAATGGTTTCATTTTAAAACGATTGACGATAGACGAGAAAAATTAACTTTTTAATCCGCATTTTAAAATGAAATAAAATGGTAAAAATGGGGATTGCAGAGACAACGGAAATTGCAATACGTTATTGATCTTTCATTGCATGTCAAATTGCTTTTTATATTTGTAGTGCTGCCCTAGACAAAAATTTTCAGTCTCTCACAGTCTTTCACATTCTCTCGGTTATTGCCTGGGTGTTTTTATGGATCTCTCACAGTCTATGTATGAAAGACTCGAATGATAAACTTGTTAATTCGGAGATTCGAGTCTCTCACAGAGAGACTGAATGAATAAAACTGAAAAATTGAGAGACTCCGGTCTCTCGTAGAAAGTCGCTCGTTCAGAGATTCGAGTCTCTCGTTCAGAGACTGGATACGAAATGAGGACCTCTCTATGAGCGATTCGAGTCTCTCGTTCAGAGACGCTAAACAGGGTTTTTGACAGTCTCTCGACAGTCTCTCTCAGCGACTCGAGTCTTGCTTTCAGAGACTCTGAGAGACTGAACATTTTTATCTCGGGTGTTTAATAGAAATATTATCAATCTACGTTGGGTAGCAAAAATAATAAAAAGTTATTTAAATGATTGACTTTCTAACTGTACACAACTGTAGGTCACTGAATTAATCAATAGAAACGGACAGACAGACACACGAGTGATCCTATAAGGGTTCCGAGTGAAAAATGGATCACTAACTCCCGAATCAACTTAACATTCTAGTTGAAAAAAAAACATGTTCTCCTATACATTCAAACTGCAAATGTAAATTTGTATGGACAATATAGTTTTGTTGTAAGATTTACCACGTTATGTTCACACCATAGACTATAATTTATAAGTAAAGAACTATTTTGTATTTTTTTAATTTTAGGTTCAGTAGTTTTGGAGATAAGACACGGGCAATTCTATAAGGGTTCCAGTTTTCATTCGGACATAAGGAACCCTAAAAATGATAGTCACTTACTNCATTAATGACGTCCGGATTATAAATACTTAATTGTTTATTGAATAACTGATTTTATTAAAGTTTTAGCCTTCTAATATATTTTCCTTTTATTCTGAGATTTTACTTGTTTTGGGACAAAGTAATTTTTTTAATGCTTCAAACTTTGAGTTTTAATGCGATTATAATAAACTTGTTGACAAGTTTCAAAGACTTTTCATGAGAAAAACGGGTTTGTGTCATTCGTTGAGGCAATAAGCCTCTAAAGACATTTAGTGTGTGAAAGCTGAGCAAACTTTGCAGACAAAAATATTGGATTACATGACAGTTACACTTTGCGTCGTCTGAAGTGTCTCCACGGTAAACTGACTGTTACACGTATTTTATTGGCTTACCTTGGGGCATTATTAATTAAGGCAAGCTTTCCGAAGTCGTCTCCCTCTTGTAATGTAGTTACCGTTCCTTTACCGTGTATTACTACATCCACAGATCCTCTGAGAATTATGTACCACGATCTGCCCTCGTCTCCTTGATGGAATACTTATAAAACATTAACAATTATATATGTTTATACACCGCAAATTTATGTATGGTATTATCCATACATTGAAACTGACAGGTTTTATATGTACGTAAATTCTAGTGGTTCTTAAGAACAAAATAAGAAATTAAGATATTGTTATAAGATACTCGCTACAGCATCAGGACTACTATCCTGAAACTCTTTTACATTTGTACAGACAAAAGAAAAAAATACGAATTAATACCCAAAATCCAAATAGTGGCTTTCTAAGTAGATTTTTCCGATCTTTAAGTTTTCCTTTCCTCTTTTGACATCACATGTAGAATATTTAGAAGTTTTATTTAATTTTAGATAACTTGATAAATGACGAAACTGCAATTAGGTGTAATGTTTTTGAAAATTTTAACCCTTCCTCTCTCTTGGTGAGATTTGGTGAAATTTTGTCGGACCCTTCCCTCCCTTTTGATCTCACGTAATTAATAGAGGTAAGATGTTTTTTTGAATATTTGGACTCCTTCCCACTTGACGGGATTGGGTAAGATTTTATCGAGTATTTTACTCTCTACACCTTCTTTTTCACATCACGTAAATAACTGACTCCCCTTGCTTGATTTTACCCTACTATGTAACATGTTTTGGAAGTTTTACACCAAACAAGGTTTAGCATTTGAAACGAATCATTTTAGTAGGTGCAATATTACTAACTTGTTGGAAAGTTGGAGGATATTTTAGTGTCAAGCAGAAGCTCTTTCGAAAGTATACGTTGTAGAGAAAGAATTTTTAAAAGGGACTAACTTGAGCAACTCCTTACTCTTTCTTTGTGCAAAAACAACTAATAAGACTCGGCTCTTTGCGTGAACAACTTAAGTTACAAATTGCTGCAACAGTCACGTTTCTCGGATACCTTTGGTAGATATAACAACGCTACTTGGAAAACATGCTCTTTACTTACAGACTGAACCAGCTTTGGGGTGTGCTTCGAAGACAATGACGGAAGCGAGCTCCCTCTTGACCGAGTTGGAAAGATGCGAAAGGGCTCTGATGTGAAGTAGCTCTTCGTAAATAGTTTCGAGATCATCTGCAGTGCGTTCGTGGCTCCTGAAACAAAAGGAAAAACTTTGAGCTGTTAGCAACACAACGAAAAATCTTCTAGTACTTTATTGTAGCATCACGTGCAGATAATTATACAAGTGGCGTGAACAGTGTTAGTCCTATTTTTGGGTAAATATTGAAAGACTACTTATGGTGTATACTGTAATAATCCCTTTATTCATATTTTTTGAGAGTTAACTCATAACCCCAACTTTTGGTATACTAAGATTGTAATCAATTTTCTAATTCAAATAACATTTATTCTCCAATTGGTGATAGATAAGCAATTTTAGATTTCATCTTGATTTTTTACAGTTTGCAATTTAGACCGAGGCGGTCATAATTGTATCTAATAATGCTGTAATTGGTGTACTTTTTACTTTCTCGTTGAACAATATTAAAAAAAAAATAACAATGAAAACTTAATATTAATATTAATTTTTGTAATATTCATTAAAAAAATGACTTTATACAGTATAAAAGAATTTCTTTTTTAAAACAATATTAATTTTCTTAAAAAATATTGATAAACCAATTTCTTTTATTTGATTTTTCTTTCAGCTAAATGGTTTTGCTACTTTTTTATTTCTAACTCAAAACAGCACGTTCGGATTTAAAAAATCTAAGATCAAATGTTTTATGTGCTTTGCTGATTACTATACCTTCAATTGAACAACCTAGACAAAAATTTTCGGTCTCTCTCCAGTCTCTCAGAGTCTTCTAGCGTCTCTGAGAGCGTCTCTCACAGTCTCTCAGTTATTGCCTAGGTGTTTTCATGGATCTCTCACAGTCTTTGTATGAGAGACTCGAACGATAAAACTGTTAATTCAGAGACTGAATGAATAAAACTGAAAAATTGAAAGACTCGAGTCTCTCGTAGAAAGACTGGGATCTCTGAAATATATTGAACTTAGAAAATTTTAACCATGTCTATCGAGACACCACTTATTGAGAGATTCGAGTCTTACGTTCTGAGATTCGAGTCTCTCGTTCAGAGACGCTAAACAGGTTTTTTGACAGTCTCTCGACAGTCTCTCTCAGCGACACCAGAGAGACTCGATGAGAGACAGAGACTCAATTCTCGCTTTCAAAGACTCTCGGGTAGATAAGCATGTTTTGATGTTGTTGTTGACTTTTTTATTTCTAATTCAAAATGGCACGTTCGGATTTAAGTCCAAGATCAAATAGTTTATGTGCTTTGCTTATTACTATACGTTCAATTGAACATTGAGAAAATAAGATATCTACTTAACGTTAATTGCTAATAACATTTAGAGAACGAGGCAGTATGTAACATGGAGCTGCTAGAAATTTGAATAGACAAATTAAATGAAAACATGTTTGGCGTAAATGTGTTGCTCTCTAACTTGTAATTTACCGCAGTGTTGGTTATAAGAATAAAATTTACATTTTTTTTATTTCATTTCAGTTAAAATTGCAAAAGACTAAAATACTTCCTTTTATTAAACTGTTACAGAAAATAAGGCAAAACCACTGGAAGAAACGGGTATTGTTTTCTCGCAAACTAGTCGAAGAAACACTGAATCTTTCAAATTTGATTCGTGAGACCGTCTACAAACTTTGTGAACATAAAAGAATAACTGTAAAATAATATTTAAAACCACAAGAAGGTACCCAAGATAAAAATGTTCAATTTCTCAGAGTCTCTGAAAGCAAGACTCCAGTATCCGTCTCTCATCGTGTCTATCTGATGTCGCTGAGAGAGACTGTCGAGAGATTGTCAAAAAAACTGTTTAGCGTCTCTGAACGAGAGATTCGAGTCGCTCATAGAGAGATCCTCATTTCGTATCCAGTCTCTGAACGAGAGATTCGAGTCGCTCATAGAGAGATCCTCATTTCGTATCCATTCTCTGAACGAGAGACTCGAATCTCTGAACGTAAGACTCGAATTTCTCAACAAGTGGTGTCTCGATAGACATGGTTAAAAAAAAAGTTCAACATATTTCAGAGATCCCAGTCATTCTACGAAAGACTCGAGTCTCTCAATTTTTCAGTTTTATTCATTCAGTCTCTCTATGAGAGACTAGAATCTCTGAATTGACACCTATGCAATAACTAAGAGACTGTGAGAGACGCTCTCAGGGACGCTAAAAGACTCTGGAAGACTCTGAGAGATTGGAGAGAAACTGAAATTTTTTATCTAGGGTAACTAACCTACATACATTATTTATACATCGATTCTGTTAAATAAAACAGTACTTACTGCTTTCTGAGGATCATACGCAGCATAGCATCTGGACCCCTTTGGATTAGAGTTGCAACAGCTTCTCGAGCTTGTTCTTCTGCCGTGTTTATATCTTCCACAGTGGGAAGGTTTGTGGCACCCTCTTCATCTTGCCAAAATCGATAGAGAAAACACTTGTCTTTAAATGGCTGTTCCTTATTTACTATAACAAATAATAATACCCATAATACTAATGTTACTTTTAGCATATTGTAGAAAGGTATCTAATGAGATATTAATGTTTAACTGATTAGACATTACATTATTTGATTTAATAGATTCATACACATTAATGTATTAATAGAGAAAATTTAATACAACTTTGATTCTGATCGATAGCTAGGACACGCTTTTTTTTAACATATTGTAGCCGGAAAGTATTCATATTGTTTTCGCATTGTATTAATTTCATTTTTAATTCGAGCTATTCAAACCAATTTTTTTTGTTTGATACAATTTGGCTTTATGTACACAATACGCATGTCATATAAATTCATTTTAAATTAAAGAGTCTGAGAATGTTTTACTTACAAAAGAAAGCCGAATTTATTACTGGTATTGAACACAAATTACGCTAAATCGTAGTCTGATATATGAAATTCTACGTAAAACTAAAGCCTGGCTGAGCTCTGTCGCTACCGAATATTCTCACACCAAAAAGATAAGATTAGTTTAAAAGTAAATAAACTGATAGGTACTAAGGCTAATTTTGAGGAAGTTATATTTTAGACAGGATACAATTATATAAGATAAACTGTTGGCTAATAATATAATATGATGCCGAAAAGCAAAGACATTACAATGATAAAATGTGAAAATGGGGAAAAATACACTGAATTATTGTCGTAAGTTTTGGGTATTTGTTGATTTGTATAAATATTTGAATGCATTAAATGTTAAAAATAATTAAAAATATTATCAAATTCCTCTCATCAGGATCTTTCGTTACTTTCACTTAATTCTTTCCTTACCTTCCCTACAAGAGTCAAGGTTTAATGTTAGTTTTAAGATTCGTGAATTTGAAGTTACACGTCTTCTAGTAAACCTCATTCGCCGGTATTCGAATCCGGTTCCTTGGCTTTACGCACTACTACTCTCCTACTATGCTAGAAGTTCGGGTTCGACACCCGGCGAGGACGTGGCAGCAGCAACAATTTTTCATTATTAATTTGAGGTTATTTGTAATGGTAAATATTAATTCCAAAATTAATTCACTTTAATTTATTGAAATTGATCCCACAAAAATTCTTTTAAATCTACCAATTTGCAAAAGCTGTTGAACACTAGATGGAATGACAGAGATTCATTTCACCAAATTAAAATTAATCAAGTAGTTAAATTCTTGGTAAATGTATCTAATTAAGGGATAATAAAGCAGTAATCAACCTCCGATAACAATAATTGTACAAAACTTTTTTTAATGCTAAATACAATGTAAATGGTTACGAGAGTGTCAGCTTATCAACTATAAATTATGAACTCATGAATGGGTAAACATATGCCATTTTATACTGAAAAAGCAAAAAATATTAATTTCATGCATAAAAACTAAATAAATACCGCTAATTGTATTATTTCAGTTTAAAATGAATATATCCACAATAGCGGGGTAGTATATCTAATAATAATAAAAAAAGATATCTATACCATAAAATCCCAGTTATAATTATGGTACTTTATCATTTTATATAATTTATTAACAACGAAGAAATATAAGAGTTTGATGCAAAAAAATTTTTGTCAAAAACCTACGTAATATTTTAGAATCGGTGTTAAAATTTCTTTACGTCAAAGCATTAACAATCTAAATACTATTCAATAAGTTGGTGTCGTTTGACAGTTTAAACACTGTACGGAATAAATCAGAATTATTTACTGTGACCTTGGTATCCATTGGGAGGTTGATTACATGAGCTTCTGTTTCTTTGCATTCCGTTAATAAATGAGGAAAGAGAAGGTTGAAACATTGAATCACACAAAAATTATGATATTAGCTGAAACAAAGTAGCCCATATTTGCCAATAAAAATTTAAAATCGAAAGAATAGGAATGTTTTGAACAGGGAAATGACACCCCCAATCTTACGTTCCACAACAAAAAATTTGCATTGTTCATCGCCCTACTTACATAAGTGACTTAACTTTCCTTCGTCAAATATCTAATATTTTTATTTGAGTCGTAAAATAAGTAGCGTGACATTCCATTCGTGTTCTGAAAGAAGAATTTTATTTCCAATGAATAAATAATTCACGCCACGTTCACAAGAAACGTATTCCCTTCTGAATAATATTAAAAATGACGTCACAGTTCGTGAGAAAAATTGGCAATCCACTGAGTTAATTGAAAACAGCACTTTTATGTCGCATAAAAAGGGATTATGAAATAATTATATTATGGAGAGTTTGACAAATTAAAATAGAAGGGCATACAAGACATTATTCTGTTTACCTACAAGTCGATGAATTTATTTCAGAAACGTAGTAAATATATTTCATTTAATATTTTTAAAATGATACTGTGTTTTAAAATTATTTATACTATCAATTTAACTGTAGGCTTCGATTTGGATAGAGGTAACTTGGAATAACATGGACCTTCACCTTGGATCATGTCATTGTTTACAGTTACCTATATAAATGATGCATTGGAATCAATAAAACAACAGACGAAGTACAACACGATTGCATTAAGGTCGTCTATCGCACATATTAAGGTTCATGTCATTCTAAACTACCTATAGCTCCATGACTATCAATGAAACTAATTAATCAATGTTTAATGATGCTTTAGTTACTTCTTTCTAGGTTGGGGAACATTTTTTAATACCGATTTGTAGTTAACACACAGCTTTTCTTTACATTCAATAGAGACACTCACTATTTTTGTTTTGCGGACTGATTCGTAATTAAGAAGGTTTAAGTCGTTTAAATAAATTTCTATCACAACAAGATTCTATTTGGAATTAACGTATATTTACAGGACTGAACGACGAGCCAATTTAGTTCCCTCTATATCTGTTTGCATTCTGTATGCAACAGCCACTATATCAAATGAAGCAATTAGTATGGAAATGTCCTCGAAGCAAGGTGAATACAGGACAAGGCGAATAATTAAGGGTAAACAAAGAGGCCGACTAGTTTTAGTTAACTTAAGGGATGTTCTATATGTGTTTCTATATTGACTATAGTTTATCTACCTAAGATACAGGTAAATTCGATTTAAAATCTATTATGTCTTAACAATCAAGCCTAGAAATACATAAAAAATATTTTTTCAGTACCTAGAGAGAAACAAATTTTCAAGAAATATTAAGATAAGAATTGGTTTCTTCTTCTGACATACTCTCATATACCTACGTATGTCGAAATATCTGTTTGTAAATGTTTTAAAAATATTTGGAAATTGTAATACAGTAGAACCTTGATAACTTAAACCTCGATAACGTAATAATTTCCATAAATTCATAAAATTTTGTGTTCCCTTCCCCTTGGAGTCCAAAATCTCTATTACTTAAAATAAAAACCCTCTATAACTTAACCGAATAATTTGGGCATCGCACCTCAGTAAGCAGTGAAAAGTGGTTTGAATAGGGAGAAAGTCTTCTATGTAAAAGACGAAGAACTGTTGAATTTCCTAATTTAGAAAAATGCTTGTTTACATGGTTTAGACAGTGTATAAATATGTAAAAACATTAGTGTTAGTGGACCTATACTAAAGGAAAAAGCTGAAGAGATTGCTGTCACTNCATAAACTTCTTAATAATTTATAAGTAAAGAACTATTTTCTGAATTTTTTTCAAAAATTTAGGTTCAGTAGTTTTGGAGATAAGACACGGGCAATTCTATAAGGGTTCCAGTTTTCATTCGGACATAAGGAACCCTAAAAATGATAGTCACTTACTGTCATCTTGTGGCATTATTATTGTTCGAGATTCCTTGTTTCCACTAAACAAACTTATAGGTTGACCACATGGAGGAAGCTTCCATTTTTGACCATCATGGGCTCTTCGGTCTTCTTGGTATCTAGAATTTAATAAAAGAGTGTTCCTGCTGTTGCGCATATGCTTTGATCGAGAGAATGCAGTATTTATCAAATAGGTAAACGAAAAAAGAGAATTAACCCAATTTACCACAGCGAATTTTCTTTCAGCGGAAAATGCAGTTTTCAATTAGAAAAAGCATTTTTTCAGCGAACGTATTTTGTTCACATAAGAGGGTTCATTTTTGATTAACTACTTTAATTTTTGTTTACCTGTTAATTATTCATACATAGGATAAAAAATAGTTTCAAGAAATTAAAAAACAAATGAAACGTTTTGTTTTGCCCACAACATTTTCTGTTGGCGGTGTTGAAAACCAACTTCGAATTTCAACAATTTAAAAAGATTTAATGATTTTCGAAAAAGCTTTTTTTCCTTATAGGAAGTTAGTTTTTTTTGTTTTTTCAAAATCCCTACCTTCTAAGTTGAGTCATAACGTGATGTATTAAAGAGACTTCTTCTTGAAGATCTGGCCACTGAATGCTATCGTTGTCGACTTCAGAAGCAAGATCTTCAATGAAAGCAACAGCGTTTTCATCTTCGAATACTGCTTGTCGTACAGCGTTAACCCAACGATATACAAAATGGACGATTCTTCTCTTACTTGCTAAAATAAATTCTGGATCCTGACTGGAAGACTCTATGCGATAAGTGTGAATATTAAGGAAAAGAAATTAAAGATTCGAATTCTTAAAAAAATATCCACTTTTGCTTTTGTATTTTAAAAAGGAAGAAAAACCAATTTTAAGCTAATGTACTTAACAAAAAATAATTCCAATAACAGCTTGGATTATTTACGTGTGCTAATTTGAATTCAACTTCAGAAAATTATTTTTGGAAATGTCATTTCAAATTTCTTTCTTTGAATAATTTTGTAACTTAAAAATAAAGCTTTTTCGTTTAGATATTACTTCTATAAAAGGATATTGTCTATCAAGTTCATCTACAAGCTGATGCGTTGGCATGAATATAATATGAGTTAATAAGAAATCGTCAAGAAATGGATCTTGTGCTGATTGTAAAAAATGTTCGTTTCCACTAAACATACTTCTTCCATCTATTCTAGTTTCTATTAAATGTTCCAACATTTTTTGTGGAGTACCAGCCATAACGGTGTATCTAAA